AAGATGAAGAAGTTTGATGTTGTGATTTCTCTGGGCGAGCAGATGCAAATGATGGGAATTGCACATAATCTCTATACTTACAGTATTTTCATTAACTGTTTCTGTCGCTGTTCTCAACTCTTTCATGCGTTAGCTATTCTTGGCAAGATGATGAAACACGGCTATGAGCCCAGCATTGTAACGCTTTCTTCACTTCTCAATGGATACTGTCACGGTAATAGGATTTCTGAGGCGGTAGCTCTGGTTGATCAGATGGTGGAAATGGGATGTAAACCTAACACAGTGACATTCAACACTCTAATCCATGGACTTTTTCTCAACAACAAAGCTTCAGATGCGGTGGCTTTAGTTGACAGAATGGTTGCGAAAGGTTGTCAACCGGATCTTTTTACTTATGGTGTGGTAGTAAATGGAGTGTGTAAGAGAGGTGATACTGATTTCGCTTTAAATCTGCTCAAGAAGATGGAACAAGGGAAAATAGAGCCAAATGTTGTGATCTATAACACAGTCATCGATGGTCTTTGCAAATACAAACATGCNGATGATGCACTCGACCTATTCAATGAAATGGAGACCAAAGGAACTAGACCAGATGTTTTTACCTACAACTCCCTCATAAGTTGTCTTTGTAGTTATGGAAGATGGGCTGAATCTGCTCGACTACTAAGCGATATGACTGAGAGGAAGATCAGAACCCGATGTAGTTACGTTCAATGCATTGATCGATGCATTTTCGAAAGAAGGGAAGCTTTTAGAGGCCGGAAAGTTGTACGAGGAGATGATCCGAAGGTCTATAGATCCTGATATTTTCACTTACAGTTCACTTATCAATGGATTTTGCATGCACGATCGCCTTGATGAGGCCAAGGATATGTTTGATTTGATGGTTAGCAAGGACTGTCTCCCAAATGTAGTGACATATAGTACTCTTATAAATGGATTTTGCAAGTCGAAGAGAGTAGAGGATGGCATGAAACTCTTTCGTGAGATGTCTCAAAGAGGATTGGTTGGCAATACAATCACTTACAACACTCTTATCCAAGGGTTTTTTCAAGGTGGAGATTGTGAGAATGCCCAACAAGTGTTCAAACAGATGGTTTCTAATGGTGTGCCTCCCAATATCTGGACCTACAACATTTTGTTGGATGGTCTTTGCAATAATGGGAAGCTAGAGAAAGCATTGGTGGTATTCCAGGATTTGCAAAACAGTGAAATGGAACTCGATATTGTCACATATAATATCATCATCGAAGGGATGTGTAAGGCTGGGAAGGTTGAAGATGGGTGGGATTTATTTTGTAGCCTCAGCCTTAAAGGAGTGAAGCCTGATGTTGTAACATACAGTACAATGATCTCAGGCTTGTGTGGGAAAGGTTTAAAGCAGGAAGCAGATGCCTTGTTTATAAAAATGAAAGAAGACGGGCCTCTCCCAAATGACTGTACGTATAATACGCTAATCCGGGCACATCTCAGAGATGGTGACAAATTCAGATCAGCAGAACTCATCGAAGAAATGAAGAGTTGTGGGTTTGCCGGAGATGCTTCAACAATAAGCTTGGTCTTTAATATGCTATCTGACGGGAGATTGGATAAAAGCTTTCTCGATATGCTTTCTCATCATCCTCGATAGAAAAGTTGTGAGGTGACTTGACGTTTTTACTGTTATTTTAATGGCAACTTCTCATTTGATGTTTTATCTGAGCTTCATGGAATCTGTCTGATTTTATTTGTTATTTCCTTTCTAGGTTTCAGACAAGAATTGATGATGCAAACTCGTGTTGACACGGGATCAGTGCTTAGACATATTCAGAGAAGCTGCTTTTAAGAAGAGTTTAGATTTCAAAAAATGATACAAGTTTTAATCGTTTCATTCTTTGTTGTTTTGTCATTGATTGGTTGTAACACTGAAAATATTCTGTCTTATTTCTCCTTTGTAGCGCAAAAGTATTTGTGATATTCGATTGAACTTGTTCTGGTTTCGGGTTTGATGGTGCAACTGAACAGTGGTGAATATCAGATTTGGCTAAGTTAAACTTATATGTTTCATGTTCAGTAACAGGTGATAAGAAAGACTGGAGAAACATGATAGATGTTTGAAGCAGATATGATATGGAGGATCTCATCCGAACGGTTTCGAAAACGACCAGCCAGTATACTTCTTCAGGTGCAGATTTGTGCTTTGTGTTTTCTTTTAAGAAATTGATCCTCTAGTTTTTCAACTGTATTTCGGAAACATTGTTTCAATGATGACAAAAGCAAAACACATGTAAAAAGAAATCCAAGCATAACGCAATTATTCATCTACAACATATTTTCAAAGTATTTTTTAGATTATTCATTTGTATGGTTATAAGAAATAGATCCGAATTAGAATCAGATTTTGGTGCTGAGGCTCTGGAGAAATGTTTTTCTTCAGGTGCATGAGTATAAAATGCAGACAAGGGTATGTTGGAGATGAGCAATGCCGGTGAGAAATATAGAGTTTCAAAGAGATCTTCTTCGGTCGATTGCAGTGGTAGCGAAGCAACAAGATTTGGAGGAGAAGAATTGGAATTGGAAAGTGTGTCTCGTTATATTAAAAGCTTAGATGATGCCACTGATCTGTTCAATGAAATGGTTCGATCTTGTCCCTTACCTTCCTTAATCGATTTCAATAAGCTAATGGGTGTGGTCGTGAGAATGAACCGTCCAGATGTTGTGATTTCTCTCTATCAGAAGATGGAATTGCGCAGGATTCCATGTAACATCCACAGCTTCACTATTCTGATGAAAAGTTTATGCAGTTGCTCTAAGCTCTCTTTTGCTCATTCTACATTTGGGAAGATCACAAAACTTGGTTTCCAGCCTAACGTTGTCACCTTTACCACGCTGCTCCACAGTTTATGCCTCGAAGATAGGATTTCTGAAGCCTTAGCTTTAGTTGATCATATTGTTGAAACGGGATGTCATCCCAATGTCATTACTTTCAACACACTAATAACCGGTCTTTGCCGTGAGGGTCGAGTTCTCGAAACACTAGCTGTGCTTGATCGGATGGTTGAAACAGGGTGTCATCCCGATGGAGGAAAGCGGCATCAAAGCCAATGTAGTGATCTATAATGCAATCATTGATCGTCTTTGCAAAGATTGGTGTCATAACGATGCTCAAAATCTTTTAGATGAAATGCACGAGAAAGGAATTCGTCCTGATGTATTTACTTACAGCTGTATGATAGATGGTTTTTGTAACTGCGGTAAATGGAGTGCTGTGGAGCGACTGTTACACGAAATGATCAGAAAGGGAATCGACTCTGATGTTGTAACTTTCAGTGCATTGATCAATGCATTTGTCAAAGTAGGCAAGTTCTTCGAGGTTGAAAAGTTGTACAAGGAGATGCTCCGCAGGGGTATATTTCCTAATACTATCACCTATACTTCAATGATCGATGGGTTTTGCAAGCATGATCNTCTAGATGATGCGATGCAAGTGTTTGATTTGATGGCTAGCAAGGGCTGCTCTCCGAACATAATCACTTTCAATACTCTCATAGACGGATGCTGTAAGGCTGGAAAGGTTTACGATGGGATGGACCTTGCATGTGAGATGTATCGAAGAGGCATAGTTGCTGATACAATTACTTACANCAGTCTTATTCACGGCTTCTATCAAATGGTAGATCTTAATGGCGCCCTAGACCTTTTCAACAAGATGATTTCTCATGGTGTGAGCCCTAATAACGTAACTCGTTGCATTTTGCTGCGCGGTCTTTGCGATAATGGGAAACCAGAGAAGGCGCTGGAAATGTTTAAGTTCATGCAGAAGAGTAATATGGATCTGAATATTGTTGTTTATAACATCATCATCAATGGAATGTGCAAGGCTAGTAAGGTGGGCGAAGCATGGCATTTATTCACTAATCTCCCCCTCAGTGGTTTGCAACCTGATGTTCAAACTTACACTATACTGATCAACGGATTACTCAGAGTAGGGAAATTTGCAGCGGCTGGAGAATTATATGCGGCGATGCTCNGCAGAAGTATACTCCCTGATACTATCACCTATACTTCAATGATCGATGGATTTTGCAAGCAGAATCGCCTAGATGAGGCTAGAGAGATGTTTGATTCGATGGCTAGCAAGGGCTGCTCTCCCAACGTAGTCACTTTCACTACACTCATCAATGGCTACTGTAAGGCTGAAAAGGTCTACGATGGGATGGACCTTGCATGCGAGATGTTTCGAAGAGGCATAGTTGCTAATAAAATTACTTACTGCACTTTGATTCATGGGTTTTTTCAAGTGGGTGATCTTAATGGCGCCCTAGACATTTTACAGGAGATGATTTCTAATGGTTTGTGTCCCGATACCGATACTTTCTACCGTTTGTTGGCCGGTTTATGGGATAAAGAGGAACTAACTAAGGCACTGGCAACTTTGGAGGATCTGCAGAAGAGTGTGGTATGTCGTCTACTCATTTTTATGTGCTGTTCTTTTGATTTTTGGAGAAGAATGTATATAGTTTTGCTGTGGAGCATCTATTGAATGAATGTCCAAAGTCAAATTTCTGATGTGTTTGCTTTGCAATAGGATTTTCATTGACAATAGGATTTTACCAGAGACCCTCAGAGATAAGTATGAGATTTTCACAAGTTTGGAGGTGAGAGACAAGAAGAGCTGAACCGGTTCAAGGATTTTTCCGCGAGATGTCTCAAACCACTGTGGGGGAGATTAGGGACTATACCTCTACGGAGCATCCGTCGATCTTTGGATACTAACAGTCAACAAATTTCTAACCATTTAATGTTCCTTACACTAGGAAATTGCAGATTGAATTGTAACCAAGTTTCTATCTAATATGGTAGAGTGGAAAAATAGGTTTTTGGATTTACTGTCTGAATGTTTGATCTGCTTCTCGACTCGAGTGTAGAGCCATCCAAATGCTAAAGCTAAATCTGACTACATTTTAAGCTTTCTTGTAACGTTTCTACATTTGGTTATATCGGAAAAAGAAAATCTGAAGCTCAGTTCTTTCTCTTTGAAATTCAGATTCTGTTCTTCACATGTCTAATTTCAAGCTTAAATTTTGGACTATAGTTTGCAAACTTAATGGCCTTTGCCTTTGAGAAACTGTTTAATAGTTTTGCTCTGTATGTTATCTGACTATTTCAAATCATTCATTCCAGATATAAAAATGTATTTTCAGGTTGTGACAAGGAAGCTTATGCTCTGATTTCCAGCAACACAAACTATCGATTTGCGATTAATGCATTGGAGAAACGTGTTTCTTGAGAAAACACTTCAATTCTTATAGCTATAACCACCGGTTTCTCCAGAAACACAATACTCAACTCTTTGATTCGATTCTTGCTTTTGTTAAATCACCAAAGAAGACTCTAGTTTTTTTGTGCAAATGACTACTTCATTTCTTGGTTAGCAACATACAAGTGTCTAGTCAAAGATAAACCAACTCAATCTAGATGACACTAAATTCAGCAGAATAACTTAATTTGATAAAATTTACCTAACCAAAATGAATCTCTTTCTCAACTAAAGTTTTTAACTTTTTGGGGTATGTGCAATATTTGGTTCGATTCATTTTTGTTGACCCCATTGATATTTTTTGTATTAGTAACAAATGTAAACACATTATCTGAGAATGAATCACATGATGAAAGAAAACACAGTTAGCTAAATCTTGACAAAGATGCTCAAGTAATGCAGAGAGCTAAACCGGTATACTTAGACCGGTTATCAGAAAAGAGATATGTCACTTAAACATTTCTCACATCTTTTATGTATTTGAAGAAGATCGTTTACTATTGATTGCAAGCAAATCGTTCGTTTTTGCGTTCTCTCCGGTTAGTTTTTTTTTGGCAATTAGAAGAAAATCGTTTTTGTGTTCTCTGCGGTTAGTTTCATCTGAACCGGTCATCAATTTAATCCAATTGAACCGGTCAATAACCCAATCCAATTGAACCGGTCAAAAACCCAATCCAATTGAACCGGTCATCGTTTTATGATTCTTCACTAAAGAAAGGCTTTAGAGATCCAACAAGGAACGGAATCAGACGACGGAGAAAATGCTGGCTAGGGTTTATAGATCGGAATCTTATGCTTCTGCTTCTTCTATATCGATCAGTGTAAGATTGATTCATCTTCGCGTCTCCAAGAAAAAAGGTACAATCAGAAAGCGTTCAACTTCTTCATCAGTCCATTGCAGTAGTAGTAGCCAAAGGGATTTTGAAGGTGAAAAATTGAAATTGGGAAGTGGGTCTCGTTATATCAAAAGCTTAGATGATGCGATTGCTTTGTTCAATGATATGGTTCGATCTCGTCCCTTACCTTCCGTGATTGATTTCTGTAAACTAATGGGTGTCTTCGTTAGAATGAAACGACCCGATCTTGTGATTTCTCTCCACAGGGAGATGGAAATGCATAGGATTCCATGTAATATCTACAGCTTTACTATCTTGAAAAAGTGTTTCTGCAGTTGCTCTAAGCTCTCTTTTGCTCATTCTACATTTGGGAAGATCACTAAACTTGGTTTCCAGCCTAACGTCGTTACCTTTACCACGCTGCTCCAAGGTTTATGTCTCGGAGGTAAGATATCTGAAGCCTTAGCTTTAGTTGATCATATGGTTGAAGCGGGATGTAAACCCGATGTCATAACGTTCAATACACTTATTAACGGTCTTTGCCGGAAAGGTCGAGTTCTCGAAGCAGTAGCTCTGCTTGATTCTATGGTTGAATATGGTCATCAACCTAACCGAGTTACTTACAGAACAATTGCAAATAGACTGTGTAAGATGGGTTCCACTGTGTCAGCCTTGAATCTTCTTAGAAAGATGAAGGAAAGGGGCATCAAAGTCACTGTAGATATCTATAATACCATCATTGATCGTCTTTGCAAAGATGGACGACATAGCGATGCTCAAAATCTTTTCGATGAAATGCACGAGAAAGGAATTCGTCCTGATGTATTTACCTACAGCTGTATGATAGATGGTTTTTGTAACTGTGGTAAAAGGAGTGATGCCAAGCGACTTTTACATGAAATGATTGGAAGGGGAATCGACCCTAATGTTGTAACTTTCAATGCACTGATCAATGCATTTGTCAAAGAAGGCAAGTTCTTCGAGGCTGAAAAGTTATACAAGCAGATGCTCCATAGAGGTATATTTCCTAATACTGTTACCTATACTTCAATGATCGATGGGTTTTGCAAGCATGATCATCTAGATGATGCGATGCAAGTGTTTGATTTGATGGCTAGCAAGGGCTGCTCTCCGAACATAATCACTTTCAATACTCTCATAGACGGATGCTGTA